GTTGCATTTAAGTAAATGCCAATTTGGAAATCTCTAGGTCTTACTGCATTTTTTATTCTACCAAACTTAACAATATTTTCCATCATCCAATTTTAGTTAATAGAGTGTAAATTTCCCACTACTATAATTATCATAAGTACATGAAGCCTATGTCTAAGAACTCTTTAAAAAGGATGCAAACTGGAGTTTAACTATCAGAGTAACTATTCTCTGCTCTCTGCAAAAGTTTCTACGTTTGCGCAGTTAGGGCACAGCAGCTGTGGGTACCTGAGTGCTGAGAGTACAGACTATTGATTTTGCCAGACACTCAACCAGCAGGGAGAAGCATGTATTTGCTATAGGCAACTATTGTTGCCTATTTTAATCATGGCTCTGATTTCTTTTTTTTTCCCCAGTCCTGTGACCATGAGCAAATTACTTACATGTTCTGTGCTTACTTCCCCATCTACCTGGAGATAATAATATACTTAACCTCAAAGATCATTAGAAGGATTATAAGCAAAATAATAACTTAAAGAACCTGATGGCATGCCTAGCACATGCCAATTTTAGTATGCCGGTTTTAATTACCAGCCTTAATAAAGTGATGGCACAAAGGCACATGGATTATATGATATTATGTGGAAGAGATTCTGTGTAAAAGAAAAGTACCGGGAAGCCTGGGTGGCTCAGCAGTTTGGCGTATGCTTTTGGCCCAGGGCATGATCCTGGAGTCCCGGGATCGAGTCCCACCTCCGGCTCCCTGCATGGAGTCTGTTTCTCCCTCTGCCTGTGTCTCTGCCTCTCTCTGTGTCTCTCGTGAATAAATAAATAAAATATTTTTTAAAAAGTACCTCATGAACCAAGACCATACTGGCTTCAGAAATTATTAAGTTTACACATGGGAATTATATCAGTATTCATTTGGAGTTAGAGATATCCTCACATTTCTATAGAGTTATTTCCAGCTCAGTTTTTTTGTTTTGTTTCATAATTGGAGTAAACGTGCTCTTTCTTAGATGTTATCAAGTTGCAAGATAAGGTGCTTGATCAGCTGTGGTGAACTCTACTTCTTGCTCCTGGGCCACTGTGGAAGTGAAGGAGCCACCCATTTTAGAGACCTGAGGTTACTCTTCTCAGAACACCCTCACTGGAGCTCTCCAAGAGAGGATGGTCATGGCACGGCAGTTCTGGGGCCTGCTCCATATCCCTGATGCAAATTAGGGCAAAAGGCACCAACGATGTAGCCAATGTTTGTGGTGGGATCCCTTAAAGATCACAAGGTAAAATATAAGAAAGGAGACCCCTCTGCCCGCCCCCCCCCCAAATTTTAGAATTAGTTGCAAAAGATTGAATCTCTTTTTACAAAATGAATGTTGAATTTCAGTGTGTGAGAGGGAAATAACAAATACATGCTTCTCCCTGCTGGTTGAGTGTCTGGCATTTCTAATGCTCCTGAAATCCTTAATCATTCATGAAAATGTCTTAGTAGTTATGTCGTTAAAGTTAAAGCTGTGATAGCTCTATTCCTTCAGTATGTTAGGGGTGCTGTCCTTAAGCAACTTGGAGCTCACAGTAATGTAGTAAGGATGCCACATGGTAGAAGTAAATTAAACACAAGAGTTGAGAATAAGCAATCATTAATTAATTATTTATTTATTATCACACCATATTCCAGAAGCATTTAAAGAAGGTGGGATTTCATCTCTAGGTCTGAGAAATAGAATAATATATTTATAACTAAGCTATATTTACCTCATCTATAAAAACAGAACTCTGGGAAGAAGTTGAACATTCTGGTATTATTTGGGGGTATCTTAAGAGTAAAGTAACATCATGTCTGCATCTCTCTGCATGTTCATCATTCTATACCAGGACTAATGCAGAAAGTATAAATAAACTCATAAAGTTGATTGTAATAATTTAAAGAAAAATACCATCAAGTTTTTTGCTGAATAGGAGGACTTAATATATATGAAATTATTCAGAAAGTAGAAATTAAATCATCCCAAGTTACTTAACTGCAATTTTTTTTTAGTTTTCTCTCAATGTACCTTAAAATTTCAAAGTATTAGACTTTGGGAAATTCAGTTATTCCTGATTCATTTAAAATGAGTAACAAATTTGGGGTCCCTGAGTGGCAGTTTTTTTTTTTTTTTTTCTGAGTGGTAGTTCTTAAAAGAGCAGCTAGTTCATTGACCAGATGAATTTAGTGCTGTCTAATTCTATAAGTAATTTTTAAAATTGAATTGGCTTTCAATAACAAAAATTCTTTTTATTTTTTTTTAAATTAGGTAAATGTTATCACTCTATCTCCTTCAGCAAATACAAGCTATTGATGTTGTTGGGTCATTATAGTGACCGCTGAAACAAAATTCTGCTTTATAAATTTGATAAAAGCTAAAATTTATTATATTTATTTTATATGTGCTAATAACTGGTTTGTACACAAAGTTGGTGTTTAATATTTGATGAATAAACAAAACATAGTTATTATAAGCCAGAGCCATCAGTATTTTTTAAAAATCCTCAAAGTCACATAAATATTTGGAAATGTAAATGCCTTTTTTCCTTGCCTCTCTCAGATAACTGCTTTTATCTATAGGATGCCAACAAGTATAATGGAAAAGTAAAAGTTTGTAAAAGATTGCAATAGATAACACCAATATCTTTTTATAGATCCAAGGATAAAAAATCTGATTTGTTTTCTCCCCCACTGGGTTGAGCACTGCAGCCTGATAGTTCACCTACCCCATCTTTAAAGAGAGCTTTGTACTTTTTAGAACATAATTGATCAAAGAGGATCTGTAACTTACCTGAAAAGTCTTTACTATAATAAAATGCTACAATGTAGAAAAGAACAAATCTGCTGTTGCTCCGAGTTGGTGGTAGATAGGACAGCCGCTCTGCAGGGGCTAAGAAGCCAGCTTGCTCGTAACTGCAATGATGTAAGATTTGTAGTTAAGGGCATATAAAGCTTCAATGACAACTGCCAAGAGATGGTATTTGTGAAATTTTTATAAGTATCAGTATAATGAACAGGAAGTGTAGCAGATTAATTAGGTGTGGACTGGAAGATAGAATTCCTGGGGGTGAAATCTAGGTCTTCCAGGTCCTGGTGGTGTGACCTTTGCACATTCCTTTGCCAGAATTCCTCTTCTCTAAAATGCACGTAATAATGCTACCTATCACATAGGGCTGTTGGGCGAATTAAAAAGAGTAAATATACATAAAACACTTACGGCACTGCCTGGCGCCTATTATAGCTATACTACATGAGTGTTATAGGTTTATTATGTGAATGTCAGCACTTAGTATCATTTTTATCATTTCTTCCATTTTTAGGATTACCTTGTGGTCCTCTTTATTTTTAATTCTAGAGTTTGACATTAATCAAATCTTAATTGCTACAACATTCTTCAATCATTTTAATTCTAGTTTAAATCATTCATTCTCTATCATACATCACTTGTTTGAAATTGATACGTTTCCTTTTATCTTGTTTTTCACCAGCAGATTGAGACTTCAATACTAAATGTGCTGCACAGTTAACACTGTTAGAGACTGAAACACAGGATAATTAAGGGTTAGGTGTCATATAATAGATTAAAAGTTAAGGGCAAGCCCTGGTGGCTCCGCGGTTTAGCGCCGCCTTCAGCCCAGGGCATGATCCTGGGGATCTGGGATCAAGTCCTGAGTCAGGCTACCTGCATGAAGCCTGCTTTTCCCTCTGCCTGTGTCTGTGCCTCTTTCTCTCTCTGTGTCTCTCATGAATAAATAAAATCTTAAAAAAAGTTAAGTGTTTAAAAAAATAGTATCAGATGGAAATAATATATATCTCCATTTTGTATGTGAACAATGATCCCAACATCTTGTCTGTCCCTCTAAAATAAATACATTTTCTAGACTAATTTTCAGACCATGAAGCTTTGAAGATTATTAGAATTAAGAAATCTGTTCTAGTTACAAAAGACCTCTTAGGATCATTATGTTGGCTGGCTGCAGTGGGTCAAGGGCCACTGCTGTTGCTTATATATTTACCAACTTTGTCTAATCATTAAGAGTGAGGGTGGGGAGATGTCATTTTGTGTGGTGTCATCGACTATACAAATCCCAAGAATCAAATACTATAAAAATTTCTCTTAATTCAGGATCTGGAATACCCTTCTCATGTTTGACTAGTATGTATGCTACAGTAAATTATTTGCCCCAACTCTCCATTCTCTCCTGTATCCATGGCCTTTGCCATGTAACTTTGCAAGTTCTCCCATTCTGGGATGGTCCTTCCTTGCCTCTTTTCTCTGGGCTTGACCACTTGATGTACTTTGGCTAATGCATGTGGACAATCACAGTGTAACATTTCTCAACTAAGCCCTCTTCCTTTTGCCAATCTGCCATTGCCACAGAAACTGCCCTGAGTAGCTGCTTCCCTCTCAACCTGGGTCCCTGAATGACCACTAGTGGAAGAGATGAAAGCCCAATATATTATAAAGAGCCTACCCCTGTGGGATCTGCAACCTGAGCAGAGCTTTCCAGCAGAACTCAGGTCAGATGCCTCAATCCCCAAGTGACTGACCCATAGACACTTGAAACATATTTATTGCTGTGTGCCACTGGGATTTTACAGTCATTTGTTTCATCACAATAGGTGACTTACACATTAAGTTTTATTTTTAAAAAGGCTTTCTTTTCTAGAAAGCTAGAAATAATTCCAAAAAAACCTGTGGCAGGTGATGATATGATTTTATATACATTTGTTTTTTAAAAAAGGCATTTAGGAATGGTAATTAACTTATGAAACAATATCACACATAATTTACAAAGTAAATCTATATTTGTTGTGCCCTAAATTGCACTATAGGAAAATACATAATGTGTTCTCATTAAGCTAGTTTGTTATGAATTTGATAATTGAAATAAAGTCAATGAAACTGTGTAACTGGAATATTTAACTAATATTTTTAATAAGTATAAATATACTTTTGATGAGTACATTTCTGGGCAGATGTTAGATTTGTAAAAATATCCTTAATGATTTAATTATAAATGACTTAACTACATTTTAACAATAACAGAAGTATTACACATGATAAACAGAATGAAAACAAACACTTGAAAACCAAACATTTTAAATGATGAATCAGTACTTTCAAAGAACTTGACAAATATGATTTTATGAAATTGAGGGCTATTAGGTTTATAAATGTTAAAGAGTCATCCTCTAAGAAGACAGACAATGATCTTCTGTAAATGCAACTCTGTAAGAAAAGTTTTAAAAATTCCATTTATAACCACTTAAAGACTGTGTTGATGAACAAAACTTTTAAGATCTCTTCCATTGCCTTTTAGTATCTATTATGTATAAATCTTTTAAAATGTAAATATTGTTTATGAGATAGACAATTAATGGTCCATTATAGAGAATAGAACTAGACTATATTGAGTAACTATGGTAAAAAACAGTTACACGGAAATAAGGACATTCTCAACTGAAACTGGCTGATTTTAGTATAGAAATATGACTCATAATCTTTTATATACAATTTAAAACTACTGAATTAATGATTATATTAGGAAATCCATTTAAAACACTCATTTTTTAAAAAAGATTTTTTATTTTTATTTTATTTTTATTTTTTATTCATGAGAGACAGAGAGAGGCAGAGATATAGACAGAGGGAGAAGCAGGCTCTCTGCAGGGAGCCTGATGAGGGACTCAATCGCAAGGACTCTGGGATCACGCCCTGAGCCAAATGCAGATGTTCAACCACTGAGTCACCCAGGCGTCCCTAAAACAGTCATTTAAAAAATCTTGAAAATCTTTTAAGCAGAAGATCTTCATACTTCAGTATGCTTCTGACATTTAGTAAATTGCTAAGGAAGTGATTTACTTTCAACCGTTTCTACTGAGTTCAAGAGAATGCCCAGCCTCCATAAATAAAGAGTAAATAAAGGAAATGCATCAGAGAGTTGGGAAATATTTTCATCATGCTTTTGAAGAAATTTCTTGATTTCTTGGTCATCATGCACTACACTTGAAGTGTTGCCTTCTTTGGTTTCCTTTTGAAGAAGCTGCTCCAGAACCCAGAAGAGGGAGAAAATATTTTCATAGCGTGTCACATAACTGGCTTGCACCTGCAAATAAACAACAAACTTCTTTAAAAACATATTAGTTGTAGTTCAGCTCAGAAATAGTCAAATAAAGATATTAAATTTTTGGACAAAATTAAATTACTGTTGATATAATTAACACTGTCCATCTTCCTATTCCTTTGGGATGGAGGGAGAACAAAGGAGAACATTTACTTTCTTTCAAAAACTTTGCCATCTTAGTGAATGACTTTTTTCTCTCTATGGTTTAGAGATCAAAATCCTATCTCTGTTTCACTGCTATAATTCATTACTCAGATGAATCTGAGAATACCTGACGGTGTCTTGTGTGTTGAATTCAGGGTCGTGGCAAAGACTTCCAGTGGATGACATGCCTGCCAATAACATAAGGATCTTTGAGGTAGGGTTTTAAGAGTTTGTTTCAATGTATATTACTCGGTTATGATCTCTAAGAGACCAGACATTATCTATTCTAAGACTATACAAATCAATGAGGAATAGGATTAGATTGTGTGGAATCACATACTTGATCTTGAGGAAAAATGTAGATGTGTCTTAAGAAGTTACTGTTTGGCCCTAGAAGGTTGAAAATCAATTGAATCAAAGTAAGGCCTGGACAGCCCGGGTGGTGAAGTGGTTTAGCACTGCCTTCGGCCCAGGACGTGATCCTGGAGACCTGGGATCAAGTCCCACATCAGGTTCCCTGCATGGAGCCTGCTTCTCCCTCTGCCTGTGTCTCTGCCTCTCTCTCTCTCTCTCTCTCTCTCTGTGTCTCTATGAATAAATAAATAAATAAAATCTTAAAAAAAGAAGGGCTAAAAAAATGGAAATGGAAAGCATAACATGATACAGGAATTAAATATGTAAACTGGCTTTATCATTTGCTTATTAAGACATGTATTGGAGGGATCCCTGGGTGGCGCAGCGGTTTAGCACCTGCCTTTGGCCCAGGGCGCGATCCTGGAGACCCGGGATCGAATCCCATGTCGGGCTCCCGGTGCATGGAGCCTGCTTCTCCCTCTGCCTATGTCTCTGCCTCTCTCTCTCTCTCTCTCTCTCTCTCTCTCTGTGACTATCATAAATAAATAAAAATTTAAAAAAAGACATGTATTGGAAACATTCCCCAAATCTATTCACTCTAATAATACATAAATAAAAAGAAACATTCTTATAGAGCTCAGAGGAATGTGTTCCATAACAAGGAGATTCTATAAACAGTTAAATATATACTTTCTTTTTACTGAATTATAGTTGACCTAACATGTTAACTTCAGGTATAACATAATGATTTGATATTTATATATATTGCAAAATGATCACCACAGTATGACTAGTTCACATCTATCACTATACATAGTTACCAAATCCTTTTTCTTGTGATGAGGACTTTCAAGATCCACTCTCCTGGCTCCTTTCAAATATGCAATACAATGCTATTAACTATAGTTACCATACCTACATTATATCTCCATGACTTTTTTTTTAAGATTTTATTTATTTATTCATGACACACACACACACACACACACACACACACACACAGAGGCAGAGACACAGGGAGAGGGAGAAGCAGGCTCCATGCAGGGAGCCCAACGTGGGACTTGATCCCAGGACTCCAGGATCACATCCTGGGCTGAAGGCAGGCACCAAACTGCTGAGCCACCCAGGGATCCCCATATATCCCCATGACTTAAATTCATTTTATAACTGGAAATTTGTACCTTTCCATTCTCTTCACCCATTTTATCCACCCCCTAGCCCTCACCTCAGGCAACTAAAAATCCATTCTCTAGATCCATGAGCTTGGTTTTGTTTTTTTTAAACATCCCACATATAACTGCATTATATGGCATTTATTTATTTTTTTCTGTCTGGCTTATATCATTTACCATATTGCCCTCCAGGTCCATACATGTCACCAATGGCAAGATTTCATTCTTTCATTATGGCTGAATAATAATCCATTGTAATGTGTGTGTATGTGCACAATACATATATAAATATATACATATATATTTAAATACACACACACACACCATATCTTCTATATCCATTCATCCATCAGTGAACATTTAGGTTCTTTCCATATCTTGGCTATTGTAAATAATGCTGCAATGAACATGGACATACATATAAACTTTTGAATCAGTGTTTTCTTTGTCTTTGGATAAATACCCTGAACTGGAATTGCTGGATCACACGGTAATTCTATTTTTAATGTTTTGAGGAATCTCCACAATATTTTCCATATTTTCCCCAATTTACATTCCCACTGATAGTGGGAACACAAGGGTTTCCTCTTCTCTACATTCTGACCAACACTTATGATTTCTCTCTTTTTATAATAGCATTCTGAAAGGTGTGAGGAGATATCTCATTGTGGTTTTGATTTGCATTTCCCTGATGATTAGTTATGTTGAGCATCCTTCCATGTACCTGTTAGCCATACATATGTCTTGCTTGGAAAAATGTCTATTCAGATCCTCTGTCCATTTTGTAATTGGATTGTTTTTGCTATTAACTTGTGTAAGTCCTTCATATATTTTGGATATTAGGCCCTTATTTGGTATTTGATTTGCAAATATTTTCTCCCATTCAGTAGGCTGCCTTTTATTTTGTTCATGGTTTCCTTTCTTGTGCAGAAGCTTTTTAGTTTGATGTAATGCCAATTGTTTCTTTTTACTTTTTCTTTTTTTTCCCTTTGCTTTAGGTGTCAAATCCAAAAACTGATTTCCAAGACCAATGTCAAGGAGCTTACCACCTATGTTTTCTTCTAGGGATTTTATGGTTTCAGATCTTAAATTCAAGTCTTTTTAAATTTTAATTCAAGTTCATTTTTAGTTATTTTTGTATGATTTTAAGTAGTGTTTCGGTTTCCTTCTTTTGTATGTGGCTGTCCAGTTTTCCCAACACCATTTATTGAAGAGGCTACTTTCCCCATTGTACTTTCTTGGCTCTTTTGTAATAAATTAATTGATCATATATATGTGGGTTTATTTCTGAGCTATTATGCTCCACTGATCTATGTACATGTTTTTATGCCTATTCCATACTGTAATAGGCATCCTGGTATACTGTTTTGATTACTACAGCTTTGTAATATAGTTTGAAATCAGGAAGCATGATGCCTCCAGCTTTGTTCTTCTTTCTCAAGATTGCTATGGCTATTCAGGTTCTTTTCTGTTTTCATACATATTTTAGGATTGCTTTTTCTATTTGACACTTTCTTTTAAAGTGCTTGTAATAAGAACTACATCCTAACTGCCTGTATGTCCACTTAAGAATGTGGACTCCACATTCTTAAGTGAATATACCTAATATCTATGTGCTGATTCTCTTAATCTAGAATGGCCTTGATTATCAATCTCTAATTACTAGGATGCTGATTGGCCTTCAGTGCCTGTCACAGATGCCACATATTCACTGAGCCCTTCCCGAGCCCCTCAATTTTATAGATTTGAACTATTTGCCTTACATTCTGGTTGGTTATATTTAGTTGGTTATATTTATTTCATCACCCGTTTAGATTCCAAACATGCTTAAGAGAAGCAAGTATATGTGTTCCCATCACTATAGTTTCTATGATTCCTAAAACAATGTCTTTCTTGCCAATAGTAGATCTCAATATACATTTGTTGTTTTGAATTGAACAGTGATTACAGTAATGTAAAATGAACCACTATAGATACATACTGGTTACTATCTGAAGGAGAATCACAGTGACATTTTTCATTATTAAAGTACTTTTCAAATACTTTCCTTTTCAAAACTAAAAACAAAAAAAAAAACAAAAACAAAAACAAAAAAACACTAAAAAATGTGTTTAACCCGATCATGTCAGCAATACTTAAATACTTGTCAACCTGCTCACTAATGACCACAGATGGTCCAAATCCTGTGTGAGTTAACAGATAATTCTTCCTTGGAACTATTGTTATAAACATACCTGCTCAACCTATTTAGACATTAACATTATTATTAGGTGGCAGTGAAATACAAACTCTATTCTAAAAAGGCACATTTATTTCATTCACTTTGAAGCTTTAACTACAACAGGGTACTGTCTGTATAATGATAATCTAGGCAGGAGTGTTGCAATGGTTTTAGGTTTCTATTGATAATATTAGCTATATATTCCAGCATTTATCCTACTGGGCTCTTAAAATACATTAGCATTTTGTGGCTAATGGCTATTCTTTTTTGAAATGATTTAGATTAACTTTTAGTTAACCCTGGTATTCAAGTATAACATAATTTTATGAACAATACAAAGTTGTCAAATTGTGCTTATCACAGAATAAGGGAATTTCTCCTTTCTGATAAATGCCATTGCATTCCAAGCAATTTCAGGGCAAGAGTGTGAAGCAGGCAGAGTGTGTCTTGGTATCTTTCCATTGGCTTTGAGATTCTTACTTTGGGTATGTTTAGCTCTACTTCCAGGTGGGCTGGGAGCCCCTCTGTAGTGCCCTATCTCTATGCTGTTTTGAACTTCGCTTTTACTCTTACCAGAATTTATCTGTCTTGGGATCTGCCACTATCCTAAATGACTATACTAAATCATTTGATACATTCTTTTACTCTAAGATCTTACCAGTTATAGAAGGGTAATTTGAAACTAACTCTCTCTCTTTAGGGACAGTATGCACTTAACCAACATGTGCCTTAGCACCCTTTCCTTTCAACATGCTAAAATGGCATGTCTGTGGGGGAGCTCTTTCCCGTAGTTCCCAGACTTCATCACACTGGCAGCTGCCTGCTCTGATTAATCATATGGTCAGACACTTTCTGAATTAGTGAATAAACTGAATAAAAACAAAAATAAATGTTAGTAAGGTAATAGTCTACTGTATGCTGGTGTTATTTTTATACTAAGCATCAAACTCGATTGAATCACATCAGTATTGGAAAATACCCAACACAGGTGGAACATGCTTACCAGGAAAATAATCAAATGTTTTGCCTGAACATCCTGCCAGGAAGACTGAATGACCCCTAAATCTGAGCAAGATGGCTGTATATATCTG